TGAAGTAAAGACCGCTCAGGTTTGTAGTTATTTTGTTAACTGCTTACATGGTTGCTCTGTCCTGGATTACTTACAGTTGCATTTGATGCACCACACAGAGCTAATTTTTTTAAAACAGGAATCACATTTCACAATTGGAATCTCAGTAAGCCGTTACGAGCCTTGCTGTAAGATTCCTTGACGCATCTCTTCTCCTTCTCTTTCACCAGCAGGAGGTAGCTTCAAAGCAACTAAAAGGAAGTGCTTCTTCAGAGCACGTACGTTCAGCTGTGGAACTCCTCGCCCGAGAATAACGCGGACGCTCAAAGTTCACAGGGCTCAAGGACTGCACAAGTTCGCACGCAAGAAATCCACTGGGGTTACTAAATACACAGAAACCGTGCCCGCTTCAGTATACCTCTGGCTGCACACAGAGGGAGTACGTAGTAGGAACAGATATAATTTCCTCGTTCTAATACATTTCCTTAGGCATTCAGTTTTGGCCACTGCTGAAGACGGGGGACTGAACGGATGACCAGCCCATCCCTCTGCTACGTGAATCACCACTCTAAGCTAATGGGGTCATTCTTCGGCTTGTACGTCCCAGCCTTTCCAAAAGGGGCATCCATAACGTTAACTCCTGGTCTTTGCAAAGTGCTGTGACTGAATGATCAGGAACAGTTCAACAAACTGTAAAAAATGAAAGACTAAAGCTGAACCAAATCCTGTCTGAGCCTACTGGCTAAAACTGATCAAATCCTTCCACCTAGAACTAACTAGCTCCAGATACAGTTTTAGAATAATATATTTTTGATGAATTTTTTAATGTAGTTCACTTTGCTGTTCAAAAATCAATTTTATACAAGCTAATGACATTCAACAAAATTAAAACCACTTCACTGATTATCTGAAGTTCTACCTGTCACTTATCAAGTGTAACGACTTTTAACTCAATCTGACCGACAGTATTGATGTCCTATAGCATACTTAGTGAAAACAAGGAGCAAAAATGATTGAATCTGTGAGAAAGACTCTTTTGTCTCTTCCAAATTCCTCTTTATTCCTATCAGAATTACACGTAGGAAGAAATTCCATCAGAAAACTTTTCTCGTAAGACTGCCAACCTGATTCTGCAGATTTAGCTAAATAACAGACTTCTTTGAAACAAGCTTCTCTGAAAAGATCCTCCTAATCACTCAGAAGTGATATGAGCACAACATTTTTTAAAAAATGTGGTGTTGTTGGGGGCGGGGGCTACATGAACTCAGAGGCATCACAGATCTGCGCGTGCCATTTAGTACCTTGTGAGTAGCCTGAAAGTTGAAATTTTAAAATGCTGAACCTTGAAACGGATTACAGTTGTGCCAACTGAAATTTCATTCAAATAGCCTTGGAAATCAATTCCACCACTTACAGTCTATAGGAAATGCTTTGGCTGCAGAGTAGCACAGAGGACATAGCTGCTTGGAAACATGCTTTTAGTTTCAGGAACGAAAGGCAAATTTTAACATTTTAGGAAAACTACTGCATTGTTCAGACTGAAGGTGAGAATTTTGCCTCTGGTTTTCACTTTAGGCAATGCAGCAGTTTCCTTCAAATGCTGGAAATTGCCTTTCATTATTGGAATTGAAAGCATGTTTCTGAGAGTTTAGCTAGGTGGGATTATCGTCAAGGGACACGTTTTCTATATACTGTTTGAAGTTGAGGGTCATCCTGTCATTTCGTTGTTTTTTGAAATACAGTGGGGGGAAAAAAAAAAAAAAATCAAACCCTTCTCAGGTTTGGAATCCAACCCACCTTTGTATCATTTTTAACATTCATTTTCCTACCGCTTAAATCAATCCTCCCACTATCCGTAAGAGCCTACTGGGATCTATCCTTTGAACCCCCTGCTTTTCCCTTAACATACTTCTGCTTTATGATCTCATTCTCCACTCACAGATCTTCCCCTTCCATCCGTAGGCTGGTAACTCATAAATCTACCTCTTCTTTCATGGCTTGTCTCATTTCATCTCATCCTGGCTCGCATCTCTTCTTGTGTGTTTTGTTGTCAGTTATGAGTCACTGTAAGTCAGGCTTCACGCACATCTGAAATTCTCTTCCCTCTCCACGTGGCACTGCACTTGCTCAAGACACCCTACTCCTTTCTTCTTAGATCCCATGAATGCCCCACTTCCCACCAAAAGAAAGGAAAATGGAAAAAAAATCAGTCGATCTTTTCTGAATGCTTTCACGGAAAACAAAATTTCAGGCAAGATCAGGAACTTCCAACATGAAAGCACTCCAGTATCACAGCCTGTTTTAAAGCAGAGTGTTTTAGCATAAGAAGGACTACAAAACAAAGTTTTCAGATTAGTTAAGAAAGGTTACTTTTAAAACGCCATCCTCTTCTAGAAAATATTGATTGTGATACTATGCTGATCACAGGCTGTTCAGCTCGCCAAATTACAGAAAATCTGTGAAACAGAAGTATTACTTTTGTGAAAATCAAAACGAATACAAATTTTGATCTCTTGAACACAGCAATACTTTTAAGCAGCTTTGCTATGTTATCATTGCAATTTGTTTAGAAAACAGTGCACTGAGTTACTGTTAGAAATCAGAAAGGTTTACAATGGGCATTAAGTGTAATTTTTTCCCCTAAGAAGGAAAAAAATTTTCCTTTCTAACGTAGCTTGTTACTCACGGTTATTCAAATTATATATAGTTTGAAACTTCTAACAGGAAAATCTGCAATTTAGAATTTTTTTTGAGGGAATTAGATGTGCTAGGATGATCACAAGATGAAATTTAAAGTTAAGCCTATTTTCCCCACAACTATGAGTTTTTAGCACACTAAGTAAAGTTAGTAATTCAAGTCTAAAATACTGGATCCACCAATTTTCCACATTTGGGTACAGAATTGGCATTTATTTCAGGTTACAGAATGTTCTCAGACAACATTCTTCCTATTTTCAATAAAATTTGTATAAGGCTTATTTCTCCCATCTTAGAGTGCTAACTCTTCTCAAGGAACTGCATAGCTGATTAGGTCAATAGTTTTAATCTCAAATACGTTTGTTATAAAAAGGCTTAAAAGTTGAAATTATTTAGATACAATTAAACTTCCTACGGGAAAATAATATCACTCTTCAAGGTTTAAGGAGAAACCTTTTCTAAGTCTATATTAGGAGCTTTGGACAGCAATTTCCTGTTGTTATAGAGACAAGTGAAACTCCAGAGAAAGACTGAGGATGTTTCTGAAGGCCAGGGATCTGATTCTAGGCTCAAAAACACTTGGAAGACAAGGAAGTTTTTGCTTCTGACATTATAATCTAGGACATGGCTGCTGGCAACCACTTACATCGCAGGACCCACGTTACCAAAAACAGCCAGGGAAGATGAAAAAGTGAAATGAAAGGGGCTACCAATGCTCCACCACCATCCTCTGGTCCCATGCCTTACATCTGTACTATGCGTAACATAACCTGGTGCTCTGGGATTTAATCTCAATTTTGTATATGAGTTATCTGAAGCTCGCTCAGATGAAGCAATCTGCACGAAGTCAAACAAGCAGTTTGGTAGCAAAATCTGAAAGAGAATATCAATATACTATCTCCAAACACACTGCCAAAACCACTGGAATGTACACATAATAAAACACAAACTTGAATAAATATCTGGAAGCTGATACACTGTGTAGCTCAAGAATTAAAAAAATATTCAGAAAGACTGCTGTTTACTCATACGTGCTCTTCAGACAGTTGCACGTGGTACAACGTTTAACAAGAGTGATTTTTCACATACTAGTGACGTAACTGTTACATACACACCCTTAGGAGGTTAACTCTGTTTTTGTGGTTTTGTTTAAAATACTGAATTACAAACAACAGTTTGCAGTATTAATTACACTGATTTAGTGACTGTAAAGAGCTAATATAAGATTGTAACGATTACAAAAAAAGTAAAATGTTCTCACTGAATGCACTTTGTATTGATGTAGTCTGCAAAACAAAACTGACTTAAGCCGGAGAAGTCCCATTTGCTCCACTTAATTAATAATAATTATAAATGTACACTAAATGTACATAGTTACAATGTACAGTCTATAGCTCTACATTATTATCATAACATAAAAGCGTATGTAGTTACTTACTGCTATTAAGCTGTACGTTTTCACACCTATAGTATGCCTATCATCACTTGCTCCCAAGGAACTTTGAAAAGCAATCACACAATTGCTCTCCTTGCTTCAGAGATGCAAAACACAGACTAAATAGATGCTTTTCAAAAATCAATTGCACTACTTTTCACTGTATATGCCTCTTAAATAAAAATGCATTTTCCTATAATTTAGAAATTTACAACCTTTCCCTAGATTGTCCTTGCTACCCAAATGGAAAGTCCCATTTCTACACTGCAAATGCCTAAAATCCTTTCAACTTTATACAGGACATTTATACCATTTAAATCTCACTGAAATCCTTGAGGCCTTGCAAGAGGTACACAGGACCTTCTGTTGTCCCTCAGCATCAAAACGAATTTCGCCCTCAGTGTAACCTAGCCTAGGCCTAATGTAGTTCCTAGGATCTAATTCACTACTCCCAAGATCACTGGGAGTTTCACAGTGCCTTCTCTTCAGGTGCTGAATTGGCCCAGCAGCAGAGGAGAGCTAGTTCATTTTGCTCCAGTGAGTATCAGAAAAGCTGCTGCTTTATCCACAGTTTCTGAGAGGGTAAAATAGACAGTAACATCTGACTTAGCTAACATATATGACTGAAAATCCAGAAGCATAAAAACGTGTTGAACCTTAAGCTGCAACTCTTACAGAGTATCTTTTTAATCATAACTTCAACTTTAAGCTGCATGGTGGCATTCTGACTAAACAGCTTTAATCCTTGTGACTTTTTCATTAATATAATTTTATCATCTCCTTTCATGAGTTAACAAGAACATTCTCCTTCAAAGCCGTAAGTACAGAAAGCACACAGTACCCCAAGTCATGCACCAATTAGTGGTATAAACAATGAAATTACACATACCTGAACACCTTGCAGAATAGTCTCTAATATCTTCTCTTCATACATCTTGATTTCATCTTACCAGATTAATACTTCATTTTTTTAGGGGCAGCCTAAGACAGACATGCTGTCAGAACAGAAGAAAAAGCTATGTGAGTACATATGTGAATTTATTCAGAATATGCAGAATAAAAAGAGCAAAAGCTAAAACATCACAAAATAAACATTTAAGTTACTGTTACCCCCTACAGTCTGTTTTACTGATAAATGTGACATATCATGCAGAGCAGATAAACAAGAAACAGTAAACAAATCATGTCATTTCACAGAAAATGATGGAAAATGTTTTCCTTGTTCCTTTAAGCAGTGGTTTTGAACTTTCTGAACTGAGCTGCACTCAAGAAAATTGGCAGTGCTCCCTGTTTTGCTCGATTCAATGCTTCTTTAGTGTCCTCCTCCTCCTCTTTGCCAGTCACGGATGGTTTTGCCTACTCCCCCTCTTTAGTGGCACCCAGCAAAGCACATGAGCTTGAGCACACTGTCTCCACTATGATATACAGACACCTCACTGGCCTGACACTACTGATTCAGACTACACACATCAGCAAAACTAAATCTGAAACCTAATGCAACCTTCCCACTATTGGTTACCTTCAGCAACGGAGGGAACGAGAAAGCTTTTGATGTATAGCACAGAGGCCAAATTATCTGCCTTACAAACTGGCATAAGCTTGCATGGAGCAGAATGATGTTGTGCCAGTTTACACAAGCAGAGAATTTGGTCCTTGCATGTGTATAAAATCTGCTCCTTCCAAACCCCGCTAGCCTGTGCTACAGGGTACTTGGTTCACACACCTGGAGCAGGACCCAAACCCTCCAGCACTAGCGGTCATCAGGCTAGTCCAGTCATCCCACGCGTACCGCAGCCGTTTTTAGACTGTTTGCGTCAATCTACCTACATAAGCAGTCGCTGCTGACACGCTCTATCAATTTAAGGTTCGTGTTTAACTTAAAAAATTGCAATCCTTACGATCTGTTTTTCAACAACATTCCTTACTCTCATAATTACCGCGACTGCATCGTTAAAAGTGCACGTTCTAAATTACAGTTAGCAGTTGTGTACGATACTTAGTTTCTTCTACCTTCAAAAACAGCTGCATGAGGGTTGGTGTTCATTAAAAATAAGCAACCCTTCCAATCAGGCACTATCACACGCTGCCAACGGCACAAGTCCGAGCCTGCAGCACCCCTGCTACTTCAGGCCTCCCTCCACCTCTCTCTATCATTAGATGCCATTCATAGCACATGGTGGAATGGTGTGTTACGCGTTCAAAGCTCCCACACCATCTAAGTCTAACTCAAATCCAGTTCCAGTGTCAGAAGACTGACATACTAGTTCCTAGTTTCAACTACCTCTGTTGGCTAAGTGCTGCCTCACTGGTAATTTTAACTTTAACTTTAAAATGTGCACATACGTTTCAAATGTGTTTTAAAAAGCATTTAACTGTGCATGTGAAGTGCTTTCCATGAAAGTGTTCTTTCATTAAATGTCAGTGAGTTTGGATCTCTCATGAATATTGATGCAAGCCTAAAATTTTCAAAATTTGGGGCAATGTGATTTTAAAAGATGCAATCTCTTAAATAACATAACAGCAATTTCCACCAATTGTGGATCCCTTCAAAGATGCCTGAAGTTGACTGCCCAAATCACTAATTATTTTCCAATCTCAAGGCTAGACATACTGTGAAATGGTTCTAGAGCAGACACAATTCGGAAGACGTTAGACATTTCGTACCTCAATAGTATCCCACAGAGTCCAAAATCATATCCTCCTCTTGTAGTCAGATTCTGCCATTGGCAGCAAATATGTAATCTCACTAAAGCAAACTCTCCAAGGATAGAGAGGAAAGAGGTATATAATGGAAACTTCCTGCACTGAGTAACTACAGGGAGTCTGAAGTGGAGGATCTAATAAATACTCTCATCTCTGTCAAGGTGCTACAGAATAAGCTGAGAAGTGCAAGAGGCTCTTTACAGCTGCAGAGATGATCTCGCATCTACAGAACATGAGAAATTTCTTTCACCTGCCATGCTGCTGATGTGGGTATCTGGAAGCTGCATTTACTTAACACACTTTTCCCCTCATACAAGCCACAACCACACAGAAGTTTCACCGTGGTGTTTTTCTTCACGTACCTGTTCAGGTACGCTAAGCAGTATACAAAGAACAGCCTCTAGCGCAAGAGAGGCTCCACGACCCTGCAGTGGAGAAGCCCACGGAAAACCTCTTCCTTCAAGTTCCTACATTTCAAATTCTGCTTTGCCCAGTCCTTATTACAGAATCACAGAATCGTTTAGGTTGGAAGGGACCTCTGGAGATCATCTCGTCCAACCTCCCTGCTCAAGCAGGGTCACCTAGAGCATATTGCCCAGGATCACATCCAGACGGGTTTTGAATATCTCCAGCGAAGGAGACTCCACTACCTCTCTGGGCAACCTGTTCCAGTGCTCTGTCACCCTCACAGGAAAGAAAGAGGCTTTTCCTCATGTTCAGATGGAACCTCCTGTGTTTCAGTTTGTGCCCGTTGCCTCTTGTCCTGTCGCTGGGCACCACGGAGAAGAGCCTGGCCCCATCCTCTTGACAACTTCCCTTTAAATATTTATACACATCGATGAGATCCCCTCTCAGTCTTCTCTTCTCCAGGCTCAACAGGCCCAGCTCTCGCAGCCTTTCTTCATACGAGAGATGCTCCAGTCCCCTCATCATCTTGGTAGCCCTCCGCTGGACTCTCTCCAGGAGTGCCATGTCTCTCTTGTACTGGGGAGCCCAGAACTGGACACAGTACTCCAGGTGAGGCCTCCCCAGGGCTGAGGAGAGGGGCAGGATCACCTCCTTCGACCTGCTGGCAACACTCTCTCTGCCTAATGCACCCCAGGATCCCATTGGCCTTCTTGGCCACAAGGGCACACTGCTGCCTCATGTTTAACTTGTTGCCCACCAGCACTCCCAGGTCCTTCTCGGCAGAGCTACTTTCCAACAGGTCAACATTTCCTCCCCCATGCAGGACTAGCCGCGTTTCCTTGCACAACTTCATGAGGTTTATGTTGGACAAAACCCCAAGTTTCTCAAGGCCGCTCTGGACTCAGGCTCCTTTGTGTCAGCTCTTAATGTGCGTGTACAGATGGCTCGTCCTGTCTTGCTGTGCCTCTGACAGGATAACAGCATGAGGCATTGCGGGACACTGTGGATAATAAAAGGAGGTGCTAGTTTAACGGAGCTGCTGACAAAGGTAGAAATCACCACGGACACCATCTCAGAGAGGCCCAATGAATGTACAAAGGAAGTATAAGCAGGGCCAGTGGAGATTAGGAAATAGGTGTGTGCTGACTGCATGGGCGGGCATCAGGATGGTAAAAGAGAACACCTTGTCAGGTGGAAAAGAGGGCATAATGCAATAAAAGGTGAAGGAAAAGAAAAAAAAAATCAGTGCTCACTGCGGGTACCTGCAAAGCACTCCTGAATCTGAATGACACTAACCAGAGCAGGACAAGAAACATGCAGTTGATCTGCTCCTACTTCTGTCTGACACACTGCCATGGTCACAGGGAAGCTGCAGTTTTCTCCCTGTGGTCAACATGAGAAGACACAGGGTGGAAGAAAATGCAAAAGGATTCATGGTGGAAGGGGCCTCTGGAGGTCTTTAGCCCAATCTCCTTCCCACAGCAGGGTCAACTATCAGATCCTACCAGGTTGCTCAGGGCTTCGTTCATTTAGGACTTGAAAACCTCTGAGGATGGAGATGGCACAACCTCTCTGGGCAACCTGCCCCAGTGTTCCACTGTCTGCAGGGGTAAAACATTTTTGCTTATCCCCAGCCTGAACCTCTTGTTTCAGCTAATGCCCATTGGGCCTCCTCCTCCTGTCGTGTACAACAATGAAGGGCCTGCCTCCATCTTCTTGACGACCTCCTGGTGGGTATGGGCAGGCTGTTCTTAGGTCTGCCCAAAGCCTCCTCTTCTCCAGGCTCAACAACTCCAGCACCCTCAGCCAGTGCAATCACCCCCATGCCACGTCTCTCTGCATGTGTCACACTCATTGGGCATCGTGTTGTAATGTGCAGGTGTTGTAGACTGTGAAGAGGGCCTGTTCTGGACAAGCAGTCCCTCATAATTAAACCTTGACCTGAAAACCTTCCAGGCCCAAGATTGATTTTTCTCCCTTAAATCCAATTTTAGCTGCACTTGTGTCAGCTTCGTACTGTTGCCTCTCATTGTCCTGCCAGGAATCTCTGTAAAGAGCCCTGGTTCTTTACTGGTGGGAAGCTTGAGTTGGGAAGCTGTGATGAGTTTCCTCCAAAAGTCTTCCCTTCTCCAGGCTGAACAAGGCCTGAACTCTCAGCCTCTCCTCCCAGGGCAAGTGCTCCAGCCCCCAAACACCTTGAGGTTCTGACACTGAACTCACTCCATGTCATCAACAGCGTTCTTCTCCAGGGGGGCCTGAATGGATGATGTATCTAGGTGGGTTCGGATAAGTGCTGAGTAGAGGGGCATCATCACTTCCGTCTTTCTCCTGGCTGTGCTCCTGTTCATGCAGCCCACAATGCTGTGGCCTCCGTTGCTGCCAGAAGGCTGCCCCCAACCTTCACCTCTCCAACTAGACCTTCTTTGTTCGTTAGTACAAGGTCTAGCATTGCACCTCTCCTCGTTATTCAGGTTATACTATTTCATTAATGCAAATATTTAGATTATCACACATTCAAACAGCAGCTGATAGTTTCTTCAACTTCCAAATTGAAGGAATCATCCTATTCTGTACAGCAGCAAAAGAATGTGGTCCTTCCTTTCCCTAAGCTCTGACACCAACTCTAAATACTACAAGGTAGAAACACAGTCACAGATTTTACGTCTTTCTCCGGAGGAAGCATAAGCACCTGAGTAACAGCTTGATAGGATTCCTCCTCCAAAAAACGGAATACAGTTTCTCTTTGAACTATGCAAATGCCATGGCAGCAGGAAGTACAGAAGAAGGTCCTGTATCGATCAGATATATCCAAGGATCCCACTTCTTCTTCCAAACTTTCACTGTACCTGCCTTGAAAACTCTTTGCTCCCTCTTCTGGTCCAGA